TAACTAAGCTGTCTGGGACCTCTCTTTGGTGTCATAGTTAGTTCCACTGTTGAAGAACAAGTGCATTAGTAGTATTTCTTCTTTCCAAATCCTTATATCTTTTTTTTACTAATTAAATGAAATAGCAATAATAGCTGTAATAAAATTCTTGCCTCACTTAAACTTTAGCAAAAATGCTTTGTAATGATTCACTATTAAATCTGGGACACAACATAGGCTTCTGATGGGAAGCTGTGCTGGCTAGTTTTATGTCAACTTGCCACAAGCTAAAGTCCTTTAAAAGGGAGCTCTGACTGAGAAAATGTCCCCCATTAGACTGGCCAGAGGGCAAACCTGTGGTGCATTTTCCTGACTGAGGATTGATGTGGGAGGGCTCAGCTTACTATGGGCGGTACCATCCCTGGGCTGGTGGTCCTGGGCTCTCTAAGAAAGAGGGTTGGTCAAGCTATGAAGAGCACTCTTCCATGGCCTCTGCATCAGCTCCTGCTTCCAGGTTCCTGCCCTGACTTCCCCAAGCGATGGAGTGTGCCCTGAGAGGAATAAATAAACTCTTTCATCCCCAAGTTGTCTTTCGTGACGGTGTTTTATCACAGCAACAGAAGCCTTAACTACAACAGAAGACTTCTTGGTTCTGGGTATTTAGCCCAAGATCTCTTTCTTGCTATGTATCTACTGAATTCAGTCAAATACTACATTCCAATGGATGCCACGTGTGCGATGTCCAAACCATCAATTTCTGCCTTTTAATCTGTTGACAAATAATCTGATTAATCTTTATCATGCTGATTTCACTGTTTGAATAATTTTGGCATGACTGAAGAGCATTATTTTGGGGGTGAACACAGCCTTACAAAGGCTAAACACCTGCCAGATCACAGCTATACCCCAGCCCCAGATCAGGATTTTTATTTATTTTTTATTTTATATTTATTTATTTATTTATTTATTTATTTATGGTTTTTCGAGACAGGGTTTCTCTGTGGTTTTGGAGCCTGTCCTGGAACTAGCTCTTGTAGACCAGGCTGACTT